CACGCCTTTTAGCATCGACACCCAGCATTGCGGAAAGTGGCGGACATGGTTTCTGGTGGAGTCAATGTTGCAAATTTCAGACAACGTAGATCTTATCATGAATAGCGAGGACAGTCTTGCGGCGCTGTCCTGTACCCGGGGCGCTCTTGTCGTAGAACCCCAATCCGTTGGCTGGTGTCTTGAGGTATTTGACAAGCTCTGTGTTCGCGGCAGACTTTGCGATTACTTTCTATGCGCACCTGACAGCGGGCGTTTCGAGTGTATTGATCGCGCATACTTTTGTAGGTGCAGCATCTAGTTCAGGTTTTCGTTGACGAAATTATGTGTTATAACAACGTTCAAGGGCGAGCTTCACTCGAAGGGCACTTGGGTGCGCTCGCAGAAGGAAACTATAAGGTATACATGTAAACCACACCTAGACCGAAACTCGACGGGGTGTACATCGGCATATCGCGATAAAAGGCGCGTGAGCGGTCCGTTTGCAGGCAACGTTTCGGTGTTGTTGAATGAGGCACCGACCATCGAGTGAACAGCATTGTGTGCTATATGCCATGTGTCAGTATCGACGAGCCACGAGAGGCTGCTGTTGTTGCTTAGCAGCTACGAGTCTTGGTCGCAAGGACTATTTAGTTCATGCACGCTTATCCGGTTTGTCATATGCTATTGCGGTGTTGGGCGAGGCTGTTGAGTAACAGCGTGCGAAACGGAGCGATGGTCACTGTGTAACGTGTATTTATGATGCGTGATGAGGACGCAAAGATATAGTGTGAGTGTTGATAGAGAAGGGTGAGGGGGAAGATTTTGCTTGTGGCTGTCCTCGTGCGGCGGACGCGGCAAGCGATTCCCACTGTGCAGATGACGATGACATCACACCCATCACCTAGCGCGTTATTTACGCGTTTCGACACCCTCCCCCCGCAAATACATAGTAATTATCCGATACCCAGAATGTCTAAAGAACTGGATTAGTATAGTTTCAAAGCTGGTATGCCCATACCGATTTCAATGATATCGCGCCGTCACGCCCGATTGTGCATATAGAGGTACCCGGAGCTCGTGACACCCAAACATGCTTCCAACAGAGCACACGCCGCAGTAACGATATTTAGGACGACTATCAGAACCAAATCGAAGCTGCGCACTGGAAATCCGCCACCATGGTTAAGTCCGCCGAAGAAGACCTACCGCCGTCCGATAGTTCCTACCTAGTTCTCCGACATCCTACCACTGAGGAGTGCACAGCAATTTCGACGAATACCTTCACCATATGGAAAGATTCGCTCACACTCCCGCTTTTCTTGGAAGAGTCACAATTCCTCACCACTGTGCCTTTGGCCCGCAATGGAGGCATGACAATGTGGGTCTTAGTCCACCGAGATCAAGCTCCAGGGGAACGTCAAATTCTGTGCTCTTGCGAGAGCTTTTACAAGCGCTCGCTCACCAGCGATACTAGCGGTACGATCAGTGAAAGCATAGTACACGGTGTAGCCAGTTTCTTTTGCCCTGAGGCATACCGAGGTCGAGGTTATTCAGCACGCATGATGCGTGAGCTGGCGAGAGTGTTACACACATGGCAGGCGGAAGGGCAGCAGTGTGTAGGGAGCACTCTATACTCTGACATTGGCAAGCAATTTTATACGAAGCTGGGTTGGCCACCGAACGCGACAAATTCGCAAATCGAGCTTCAACCTGATACTACCGTATGGCCTTCGCTCGCTTCACCAATCATAGAAAACGAACTGGAAGCACTTTGCAAGCGGGATGAAAGGATGGTTCGATCTCGTATGGCTGTACCCGCACAAGGCTCAAGATCCCGCCTCACGATCATTCCAGACCTGGACCATATGCTGTGGCACATATCTAAAGAAAATTTCGCCACCAGACACCTTTTTAATAGAACACCCGACGTGAAAGGTGCTATCGCTGGACCACCAGGCAGTCAAATCTGGGTCATTTGGACTCACCGGTACTACAACCAACCCGACAAAAGTTCATCGGAGAACGTGCTATACGTGCTTCGGCTTGTCGTAGAGATCGACGAGACCGCAACAAGGCTATCTTCAGATGCGGTAAAACGGCCTGATTTTGATGCTTACAACCAACAAGTGAAATATCTCAGAGCGGTTTTACAAGCAGCAAGGGCCGAAGCGAAGAGTTGGAGATTAGGCGTCGTCAAGTTGTGGGATCCGACGCCCTTGGTTCTGGACATGCTGGCTCAGAGTGGCCTGGAATTTGAGGTCGTGGAGCGGGAGAACGATAGTATCGCCAGTCTGCTTTGGTACGGCGAGTGTGGCGGTACGGACAACGAGGCGCCTTTATGGTTGAACAACGAGCACTATGCATGGCAATAAGAGTTCAGAGGGGTGGAGGTTCTAACGGACAGTCTCCTCATGCCTGCCTATCATACAATATCAGACCCCCTTGGATCTGACAGTCTGCGCTCAGGTAAGTCTTGATCTTCCCTTTAGATACAGTATCTCTTGCTCTTTGCTGTGTTCGTTTATACATGAACATAGGCCTTGTTGCACATATCTCCGCCGTTCTATATTGGCGAGGTGCTCCCGAAGCCATTGCTTTTTGCGCAACCTAGCCTTGTCGATCATACGCAACGTCTATAGGATAGTTCCAAACGGTGAACCTGTAAGACGTGCGATTGTCAACATGCTCATGGACTCGAGCTTCACTTGGAAACCTCTATTTCGAGTACGCGTAGATGCGATGCAAATGCAGTGTGTGACCAATAATCCTTAAGCACTGTCAGTTGCGTGATCCTTCCATATACGCATCTGGAATAGCGTTCGTTTGTGGAGCGCCTCAACTCTTTCGTTGTGAGAAGTGGCGTTCGTTATCAGTAGAGGTGCATCAGGCTGAGGGGAACCGACCCGGCTGTGCATCGACTCAATGCGGGTCCTCGGGTATTTGGATGCGAAGCAAAAGACGCAGTCTTAGAGCCAGCCTTCTAAGGTTCTATTCCATCCTCTCGGCGCTTCCTCAATCTCCTACAGTCTCTTAAAGATCAATCGTTCCATTCTACGGTATCAGCTTGCGTCATCGACTCAACATGAGACCCCAGGCCACGACTTCCACGCGTCAACTAGACCAGCCGCAAATTTGTTTCAATCGTCAAGACGATAAAGGTTTCTGGAACTCCTGTAAAGCATGGCACTGGTACCCACTTCACATGTGTCTGTGTATAGCCTTTGTTGGGATCATGTTCACCCTAGTCGATGGGCGTGCTTTCAGAATCGCAACCCCAGCCTACTTCTTCCAGCGCGAGTCTGGGCTATACCAAGCGGAAGCGACTGGCTTTGTTTCCGCTGCATTAGTCCTTCTGCGGCTCGTAGCTGAGATTGGCTCGTCACTCATCATCTGGCGCCTTGTCTTCCTCCTTCTTGGCAAAACCGGAATCACACTTGTGGAGCTTTGCCGCGTGGTAGACATGAGGCTTCCGAAATTGTCTGGCTTTGGATCCACCCAGCATCTATACTGGTCGCTGTTTGCAGTCATCATTGTCGTACTCGTGTGGCCATCCTCTATTGCAGCACCTCTCGCCAACTCGTCCTTGCAGTGGATTCCTTCGTCCCAGCTCGTCCATCTTCGAACACGAAACTATGACCTTCCGGATATCAGGACCCAAGACGCGTGGAACAGCTTTCTTTACCCCGAAGATATTGTCGCGATCGCATTAAGAGCGGCTACTATGGGTGCCAGGGATTCGGACTACGCTTTTAGCGCCACACAAGCTACTCAACGACGCTATATGTACTTGGATCCTCATCTGCCCTCGGAGAGTCTTGTTTTAACGCAAATGTCATATTTTGAAGTTTCGAATATCGAGTGGATGAACATACAATTCGACTCGGAAACCCTTGGAGATTGGAAGCCAAGTTCCCTCGCTAATGCTAGCATGCAGGAACTTCCCGCTAACAGTAAAAAGATGGGAAACTTAGGTTTCTGGATGACAGAAAAGTGGAACTTTACGAGCGCCAAAGAACTCTACAAGAAGCCAACTACCTTCTACGAGAACAAGAGAAATGTCTCAATTCTTGTCGGTCGTATAGGCCTAAATAAAGAGGACGACGCAGACTTGGGAGCCAATACTACCCAGTGCTCATCTAAACCGGGTAGATTTGGACAGTTGCCCATAGGCGTGAGCCAGTTCAATTCTTCATGGTTCCTCGACGGTGAATGGACCGCGACGGATTGCTTTCTAGTCGCAGAGGTTACGATGAGGATTGGAATGATCAAGGAACAAAACTACAACATCACACTGGTTGGTGCTTCCGAAAACCTCCACGTAGCATCACCACTAAACGGAGCGAATCAGTCGCAGCCAGACCTGATACCTGATTTAGCTATACTCCCCACCTTGGATATGATGACAGACGTTTTACAACATCTGGTCTCGCTGGGCGTTGGGTCGCAGCACCGAGAAGACAATGTGCAAGGTTATCTTGCAGGAATGTTGACAGTCGCGTACCACGCGACGCGTAGCGCTCTGGTAGAACAAGCCACAGACTCCACTACGACAATTACCGCAATACCATCAGAACCAATAGTGCGTGCGTTAGTCAATCGGCGTCGTTTGTATGTGTGGTTGGCTTTGAATGCAACTTTGACACTTGCAGCTCTGCTCTTGTGGGTAGTGCAATCCACCACGACCAAAACTTCGAAAACCGTTCGAGACCCAACGCTTGTGGCCCTTACCACGAACATGGACACAGTGTGCCATAAGAATGGGGATGGGCTTTGTAATGCGGTCGCTTTGAGCGGTGGCGATAAGAAACTGGGTAGAATGGTTTGGGATTACGAACACGGCGGATCTTGTCGAAAGTTGCGCTTTGCGAGCGGAGGTGATTTGGATGAGAATACGCAGACATCTATACCATTACTTTCTCTGCGACAGTACAACAAACTTCCGGATCATTAGGCAACAAGCCTGAGAATGTTGGTAGTTTTAGCTCGTGTTTGTGGAGAGCCTAGTAGCGTCTCTGCACCCGTCAGTCTTCATCCCATCCATCGCCCGATTTATTGCCATCCAGATAGTGAATTACATTCTCTTCCCCTTCCGTGATATCCAGTGGCTCACCACCGTCCCTGAAAAAGTACACTTGCTCTGAGACTTGATAGGCTTTACATCTGGCACGCATGTGCAACACCTGGCCTTTATGGTTAAGAGCTATAAGCAATACCCAACCATCTTCACATGCCTCACGGTCTGCAACCACTACAAGTAGAGCTTGTCGCGATCTTAGATCATCGTCGTCCTCCGCGGTATCACGACTTCCACTATTAGGTTCCATCGCGTCGGGGCACTGGATCAGAGCGCTCAGGATGAAGGATGGTATATCACTCATCAGCTCCACCTCATCGTCTGCGTCCCGTGCTATTACCCCATAAGCAGTAGCATTGTCTCCGAACACATTTGGGCCAAACAGATCAGCGTCAAACTTGTAATGGTCCTGTGGAGGACATGAAGCTTTCCGCCACAACCGAGTATATGCTTCGTCGGCACTCGCACGCGTGACGATCTCTTCATCCAAAATGTTGTCCAGAGATGCTTCGTTACCGTACCATGTCCGAATCCAGATAACACCAGCAACACCCCAATCGTCTGGATCTGTCGCCTTGCGCTTCTCAAACACTGACAGGTTTGAAGGGATGTGATCGGGCAAAGAAATATCGTCTTCCCTGCACCGCTCGAAGTATGGCTGATTGACGTGCACATCAGTGGCCTGACCTGCAAAGTATCCCCATGGTTGGACGAGGAGATCGTACATAACGGCCACGTTGGCCGAGGCTAATCCATGCTCTGACAATGTTTCGTTCTTGCTCGTCTTGGTGTAGAGTCGACTCTGGGTCCCATTTTTCCTGTTGCCCCGCGTCAGCCGCGACTAGGGAGCTTCAGCCGTCCTGACTGGCTTGAGTGGAGTGCGACTAGGCATACCAGGAGGAAATGATCAAAGGGCTCACAGCCAAATGTGTCATGTAAAGTCGGCGAACTGGTCATATGAGCGATTCGGTGTGAGCTGGAGTAAAGAAAGCAATGTTGCGTGCTTTTTCTACGGTCGCCTTGTAGTGCAGCTGTAGAACGGGAAGCGGTATAAGGCGTCCGCGGGATGGGGTCGTAGACTCAGGCTGGCCCTGGCGCATACAGTTGCTTTCCCATTGGCCGGGATACTGATCCTTGCAGACCGGCCCCAGCATAGGTGTTTGAAACTATCTCGAAAGGTATCCTTTCGAGTCCGTGACGAAGTTCCTGGTAGAGGGTCGTGGCAACATGTACAGCGCAAGCTTTCGCCTGCCAGAAATTCCTTCGGAAGGCCGCTTGGACGACGAATCTCCACAGCACAGCATTGCTTTTCTCCACATTTGCTTGAGTTGGGTGTTTCGTGAGGAGCTGGACTGGACGATCGCTGCAAATCGCGTGCGATCTTTGAGTGTGGGTGGCATGATGTTATAGAAGCGAGTTTGGTGGGAAGTGAGGAGACGTGAGCAAAGAAAAAGAGGGCTTTTTCCAAAGATTTTCAAAGCGAAAGCAAAATAAGAGAGAAGTGGAAATCGGCAATGAGCCCAGGGTGTGCCCAGGTCGAAGGTTCAAGAGCCACCAATGGGTCAATTTGTATAAATGGTCTTTCTAGTGTTTGTTGATCATGTACACAAGAGTCAAATTACAGGCCCGTGTTAGCTGGAACTTTGCCGTGGCTGGAAACAACGGTTCTGAGGTAAGGAGAGCAACCCTTGTCTAACGAGCCTACTTTGGTAAGAGAGCTATGGTAAATAGGCGACTCCGCAGATGCTCAGTGCGGCGGTGTCTGGATAGGCGAAATAGCCGTCGGCGCTACTGTCGCTATGCAACGGATGGGGTTCTCGCGGAGCAGACATTTGATAAGAGGGTGTAGATGGTCGATGGTTAAGTAGCTGCTGCTCGCGGTAGCAATGCAGGTCCTGGAGCGATCACGATGAGCCGGGTCTAGGCAGAGCGGAAGCTAACCCGGACGTGCCAACGACGTCACGGCAAGCCACCCAGCCATCCTCGCATGCTCCATGGACGTCTCCACTCCAGCCCGTCTCCACGGTACACCTCACCCAAAGACACCTCACAGCCCTCACCGCATCGCGACACGTACTATTCCCAACAGAAGCTGCTGCGCATACATGAGCGCCATCACCGCGCTGCATGTGGCAGACTTTGCGATCATACAATCGTGATTTTGCCATTCCGGGTTCCAAACGGTCACGGATGGCTTCTGGGAGCATTGGCGACGTGCCTGCCGCGACTTTTGCTGAGTACGTAGACGATCCTTTCCTCGACCACGGTAAGAGGGCAGGTGCATCGCAGGCGTCTTTGGAAGGTGACGACGACCTGACCAAGAATGCGCCGTCTGCCGATGCACCGCAATTCGACCTGGCGCAAAGGCCCGAAGCACCTTCGCGATGCATCGCGTTGCGCCCGGCCCTGACCCACCGCCTCTATTCCCATCGCCTCCATGTACGGGCAAAAGCTAAGCTGCAACGCGATAGACTGCTCTCCGGCCCTATGATCGATATATACGTAGGCGAGTCCAAGCGACACTGGTCGCTGCACCGCAACCTCCTGTGCCACCACTCCGAGACCCTCGAGAACGAGCTGCTTGGTGATGCAGACGGCCACAGTAGAAAAGACCAGCTCGATCTCCCCGACCACAGCCCCGCCGGCTTCGAGCTGCTGGTGAAATGGCTGTATCAAGGCAGCCTCGACGATGTCTCCGACATGGCTGATGCCAACCTAAAGTACGAGTATGCTGTGAGCTGCCACAAACTCTATCTCCTCTGCGATCGCTTCGACATGGCTCAGTTGAAGAACGTCGCCATGGATCAGTATCGAAAAGGCCTAAATGAGGCCGAGCTGGTACCTGACGCTGATGAGATCGACGACATCTATCGCAAAAGTCCGACAGGGTCACCATTCCGCAAGCTCATGACGCGCATCGCAGCCCGCCAGATCATGGATCCTGGCAGTGAGCGCGATGTCGAGACTTACCGCGAATGCTTTGAGAACAACCCCGATTTCGCCATTGACTTGGTCAAGGCAATCAGGTCAGGTACTGGTGGCATGCTATTCGACGACCCTACAGATGAGGGCAACGAGTGCGACTACCATGACCACGAAGCTGGGCCCAACTGCCACACAAAGGGCAAGGGCAAAGGGAAGCAAGGTGTGTGACTCTGATCTCCACCCAGCCCATTTTCAATCCCATGTCAGCCGTCTCGTTGCTGTCACAATCACAACACGCATAATAACATCCATTAACCAGTAAAGAAGAAAGCCGGCCTGTCATCCGCCAAATCCGTCCCTTACATAAGCTCCGACCAGCAGAACCGCCCTCCCCGCCCTCTTCCCCCGAAGACGCCTCACCCGTCTCGTCCCCTACCGGCTCGCCCACAAGAAGGCAGCGCCGGTCCTCTCCGCCGTCGGCTGACAAGTCCGGCGAGTTCGACAGTAGTCACGTCGACGGAGATGGCAGTCGCCAGTCAGCCGCCCAATCCCGACGCGATTCGGGAGAGGGAGAAGGACAGGGAGAAGTTGCGCAAAGTGACGCCACCGGAGCGCAGACGCCTAGAGCGAGCTCAAAGCAGCGGAACGGAGATACAGAAGTCACGCCCAGTCCTAGAAGAGCGCCGCCGAAGCTCAGACGACGCGTCTCCCCCACACCAGAATAGCCACATAGAAGACGAAGCACTCGGCGAGCTTGAAGGAGGACCAGTGCAACCACCACAAAGGACACCCTCGCGTCGAGGTATCTGGGAATGGGCTAGAGTAGGAACGGGCAGACTGAACATCATCGGACGAATACCGCATCCTGAATGGAAAGGCCCGGTGGTGTCGCACCAAGTCGTCATGAATGGCAACTCGCAGATAAGCACCATTCCCGAGATGCATGACGATTTCAGTATCCCCTCCACAACCGCTACCGAGACGAACGATTTACAAGAATACAACCAAGCAATGGCGGCCAAGATGGAAGGTTTTGGGTTCTCCCATGCTCATATCACAACGTCACCATCCTTCTCACAAACCAAGCGCTCCTCCGACGACCTTGTCGCTGCGTCATCTACGGCTAGCACGCCAGCCAACTTGAATCTTGTCTCCGAGGCTTGGACGAATGGCGAGCGAATCACACCACAACCTTCCAAGGACAGCCCACCATTGACGCCGGACACCCCTACGCCGAATCAACGCAGGAAGGATTCAACAATAGAGGATGAGAGCACACCTACCAAGGACGCATCGGAAAGCGCAAAGGCAGAGGTCGCTGATCGACCTCAGAATGGCGTCAAGACCACCCCTACGCCTGACCGCATCCCGAAGTACCGGATAGCGCTTACGTCAAATTTCCTTTCACCAGCTCGCAGTACCACGAGTTCAACTTCTTAGTTTCTTTCATCATGATCACGATTTGATACGATACCCTATACATACATACTATCTGGCGTTCTAAGCGCAGAATCATCTAATGCAAACCGATCTTTGACCAATATCAGTAGGAGCGTTCACTGACTACATGAACGCAACACCACAATAATTCTTTCACATACGATCAAAGGACCTAAGAGCAAGTCCTCCTTATACGTCCAACCCCACGGTGCTGTGCTAGGATCAGTCATCTAGCGTTCGCTGTCAATTACCTTTTGCAGGAATCGCGACGCTGTCGCCGCAGTCTCTCCACACTACAGCCTTGAACGATTTTAGCAGCTATCTAATAGCTTGTATGTTTAACAGTCATGCTAGAATGGAGGTGTGCTGTATTAGAATTCGGCTGCTGTTAGGAAAGGGCTTAAGACCCTCCCTATTACATCGCTCTTCCACATCGTCTCTCTTGTTCCTTCCGTCCCTTCTTACAGTTTTTGCATGATCCTTTTACATCATTCTAATTATCATGAAACTGTTACGGAGTTGCCAGGCAGGAATGACGGGTGCACGTGATCGGCATATCCATTACGTATGGTTAAGGGTACGGAGATGGGCTAAAGACAGGATGTCGCTGGAGGGGCTGCGGACGGGAACAGATAGAGCGGGGTTTCAGCAGACGCTGGCTGCTCTAGCAGATACTCAGCAACCGCCAAGCCAATCAGCGGCTAGCTAGATTCATCTTGTATCCTATGGCCTGTAGGACTATCACTAATTTGGCCCATAGTGCCGTGTGCATTCGATGATGTGGCGCGGTCCTGCACCTGTATGCTGCATGCTGCATGACGATGTAGAGCTGAACTTGGATCCACAGTCCTGCCTGCGACCTGTTTGTGGTGGGGTAACAACCATTGGAGTCTTTCATTCAGGACGTCAATAACTGGAAGCTCGAACTCACCAAGCTCAACCGTGCCTCTGTCTTGCAGAAAGGAATTATGGCAGCCCTCTCTGCGAAGAAATTGTCTACAACGACATCGACACGACGAGTACCTTTATCGACCATTGAAGATGGCATACGAGCGATCAGTCATGCATTGGAGCTTCCTGAAGATGAAGCGCGCGATATCATCGAGGTAGCAACAAATCATGTTGAGAGGCACGGAGAATTTCAATGGCAAGAAGTTTGGCCCGATACGGCCAGCGTGGTGAAGTTTCAGAAGTCCGGTCAACAGCAATTGTTGAACATGGCGATCGCCTTGGCTTTCCTGCGAACATCCGCAGAAAGAGAAACCAACCTGTCTGTGGTGGATCTTGATATCATCTGGGGTTTTGTCAGAGACGTACTCCGGGATACAGCTTTGACTCAGAGCATAACACATTGTACAGATGGGTCGCTCGGGATCCCTCTGTGGATCGACATTGTGGATGATCAACCATCTGAATTGATCGGTTTGCATGTGTGGAAGCCAGGTGGATCGCGAGTCGGCCCAACCTCGGTCATGTATACTCAAACTCCATTCACTGCAAGTTGGACAATTGCCGGCGGAGGTACAGAGTATATCGTCAATCCAACCTCAAGTCCGCCTAGTGGGAAAGAAAATGCTGAAACATCAAAGCTGTCCACACACAAGCAGAACTTCTATGTTTTCGGAGAAGGTCTTCAAAGAACAGAAGTCGAGCCTGCTGCTCTCTATGCGAAGCTTGTACTTTACGATACGAGTCGTTGCAATACTCCCGGTGCACAATCTTTGAGAGCCGCCCCTCACCAAACGTCGATTATTCAAGATGAGATCCCTCATATCATGGTGACCGACATCACCATGGCCATCACCGAGTTCAGGAACTGGGAAGAGCACCAACTGCCAGGCCAGCAACATTCGGAAGACGGAGAATGGGAGGAGGCACTTCGACTGTATCGCAATGCCGAACATATTTGCCAGTCAAGTGAATGGCTACAACAATCTCTGTATGCGTACATCACTTCCAGTACCATCAGCAAAATGTATCGAATGCTGGGCCGCTATGATGATGCTCGCGAACTTTTGGAAAAGATCGTTTTTGATACGCCACAATCGAGCGCCCGTGTAGATTGTGCTGGAGAGCTGGCTATGGTCTATCGCCATATGGATCGTCTGAATGATTCGAAACGAGCTGCTGAAAGCCAGTACGATGACGCGAAGCAACTCAATCTCAAGAAGTTTGCGTGTCGCGCGATAGGAAACGTCGGCAGGGTCAATTACCAACTTTACCTAGAGAGTGATCCCAAAGATAACAACTTGCTGGAAATTGCGATCAGTCAACTCAATGAACGCATCGAACGAGCGCGAGACATCAGAGATGTCGTTCTTGAGGCGATCGGCTACTCGTGTCTATCCCTTTGCTATCTTGCTAAAGGAGAGTTCCAGAAAGCTATACAGGTAGCGAGGGAGAACTTCAGACTTACAGGCTTACAGAAGGATGCGACGAAGGTAGGATTTGCTGGAGCATTTCTGGGTCGCGCGCTGCTTCTGGCCGGTCACAAGGAAGAAGCCCTAACATATTTCACTCCTACGTCCGGCTGTTCTCCGATCATCGCACTATGTAAAGAGATTTCCAATGAGCATCGGAAATACATAGTGGAAATGATCGACGCCGGTGCAGACCTGAAATTTCGAGACGACCAGGATTATTCAGCTTTGGAATGTGCAGTCTACAATGGTGACGATGAGACAGCGAAGATCATTGAAGAAGGGTTGAGGAACCAGATAAGACAAGAAGGTGGTGATGTTGATAGTCAGATGGCACGACTCATATATGAAGCAAATCTGCGGAAAGGGTACAGGGATATCTTCCAGGACAGACTTCGCCCAGTACTTCTCAATGGAAAGGATAATCCAATGCAGCAAGGTTTAACGCTACATACGCTTCGTCAAACGTATGCGTCATGTTTGACTGAGGACAAGAGAAAGGAAGAAACTTTCGATGGGTTAAAATACGTACGCTACGCTGATTTTGTGCGAGCAAAGCGGCTTCCACGCTCGAATAATGGATACACACGCAGTCTTTCCGGTCGACAAGTCAACCAATTTAATCCATTCATTCTTTTCTTTTCGTACCGATGGATTGCCAAGGATTCTCGATCGTACTTTGACGACTTCTCACCAGACGACGAGAACTGTACACAATACAAACGGATGCTCAATGCTATTGAGAAGTTTCTGAAACTACACAGGGAAATTGATCGTGCCAAACTGTGCATTTGGATCGTAAGGAAATGCGCTTTTAACGGCTTCCGAGAATCTTACTTACCATACTGTCAGGACTTTGCATGTGTGGATCAGGATCAACAAGGACCAGGCGTTGCCGCGCTACCAATGAATCTTGCTCAGTGCAATGCCATGATAAGCCTCATTGACAAACAATACTACGACCGATCCTGGTGTTGTGTCGAAGTATTGATGGTTCAGACACTGAGCAAGGCGTATGGCTTACACATGTGGTATGAACATATCATTGATCCTTCTTCTGGTGAAGGATCGTTGCAGCCGGGACCGATGGACCTTGAGATTAGCATGGCGGAAAAACATGTGACACTTGAGGAGGATCGACCAAAACTGCTATTCTTAGAACGCCAAACGAGGCTCTTAGGATAGGTTACAAGACAGAAGATGGATGCGGTAGAAAATGGATGGGGGGGAGGGTGGCCTTACCATAGGTCGAAGTTAAGTCGAGGTTACACAAGCGTGGGTGGAGGTTAGATTAAGTAGTAGGAGCTTATTTGTAAGGAGTCTTTGGGCAGGTACTGAAGTATTGATTCCAAGTTGGATTGAGACGACTCCTTGAGGAATGATCAAGCATAAAAATGAGATAATATATACCTATAGCGCATAATCGTGGCCGGTGTAAGCCGACGGTGGCCTGCGTGTGGCTGGGCCCTGCGTGGCGTTGGAACATCGTGACAGCAAAGTTGCCTAGGTAGTATAATTAAGCTACAAAGCCTGTTAGACTATAAGCACCTGAGCATGCACTTATATCAAGTTAAATTCTTCGCAAGTATACAATGACTTTGACACTGAGTTATCGCAATCTTATCACAATTCGCTGTAGGCATATAACCTTATCATCTTAGCATCATAGTGTTGTGGGATGGCTGATTGCGCGCACGGACATGGTAAGATACCTAGGTAGTGACCGGGGATCTGTCTTCCCCGCCTCTCTAGGTTTGAGCTAGTTTTTGCTTCAGCATCATGCACTCTGGCTATATCTTTCGAAATGTTCGTATCACACTCGGGACGGATAAAACAAAAGGTTCTCAGTGCATGGAATACGTGCAGCGTGGACTGACGGCAGGCTATCGCAGTATCGATACTGCCCAGGCATATATGAATGAAGAAGCTATTGGTCAAGCGATCCAAAGATCCTCAGTCCCTCGTGAGCTAGTCCACGTCACGACTAAGATCTCCGCAGGCTTCAAGCGAAATCCGAGCAGCTTCGACGAAGTCGAGGACTCGGCAAGAGGCTCGTTGACGAGGCTTGGATTGGACTACCTGGATATGATACTGATGCATCATCCTGGTGATGATGTCGTCGATCCCGAAGCTGCAGATCGACGTCAAACGACATGGCAAGGGCTCGAGGCCATGGTTGAGGAAGGACAAGTAAGGAGTATCGGAGTCAGCAATTTCGACATTTCGCATCTGCGCGAGATGAAGCAGTACGCCAGAATGCTGCCAGCCGTCAATCAAATAGAGGTAAACATACTTATTTGTATTGTAGTTCCGACAACTAATTTTTACAAACTCAGCTACACCCATGGTGCCGACAGCAAAAATTAGTGGATTATTGCAAGAACGAGAATATCTCATTGCAAGCATATCTAGCAATTGCTAGGAATAGTCGCGTAAGCGACGAAGGGCTTGTTGCAATAGCGAAGAAGTATAGCACATCGACGGCCGTAATACTTCTTTGCTACAGCTTACGGAAGGGTTATGTGCCCATTGTGAAAGCAGAGAATACTCAACATCTAGTTTCGAACCTAGCAGCAGAGAAGCTATGTATCGCAGACGAAGATATAGCATTGATGGATACGTGGGAAAAGGGAAACAAGGGATCTTTGCGTGAGTATGCCGATATCTGTCAGCATAGTATGCTAACAATAAATATAGTGCCGTGGCTCATGAGTTCAACGCAGATGTGAAGATCACTCTACGCTCTTTATCTTCCGACCTCGTCTACGATCTTCACAATCTGATAGTGACTACATCGGCTGAGGCATTGACGCTACTATCACAATTCATAATTCCATCCCATAAAAGGCCGAGCAAGATACTCAAGTAATGGTGACTGTAACCTCATGATTGCAGTTGCAAGGTGCAGCACAGAAACGCGATCGCCCAATAATGTGACCTTTATCCAATAAAACACCAATCCCTCCGGCGGCGGTGTACTGATATGTCAATTTTGGAATGAGATAGAGTCGTGTGTCCGCTGTTGGTTGCTGCCATAGCTGTGCACGAAATGATGACTGAGTACGACAGTCTGGACAGCTTACTGACACGAGGTGGCTTTCAGACAAACCACAGAGTTCTTGGTGAAGCTTGGAAAGACCAAAGCTTTCAAAATGCTCGAGTTCAGGCGCTGGCGCGGAAGCCGAAAGGGCAAGTAAGGACATAACATCGTCGTATAACCCTGACAAATTCGCAGGTTGCTCGTCCCTTCTGCCTTGGATTGTTCGATCAAAAAGGTAACGAAGTGTTCTTAGTATTGACTTTGAAGTCGAGACGCGGAAATGGAGAGAAGGAGCTCTCGAACCATTATTGACGTGGTCAGAGCGAATGAGTGTATGAGGATCAATGGTCTCTAAACGTCTGACAAGACTTTCTGCCGATTCTTGGGTTTCCAAGAGCAGATCGTGCAATTCATTCGATGACGAATCCGACGAAAGATCTGCAGAGGGCCCCCATGTGAGATCATGTGTCACATTCCCGACGTAGTGGAAGTCCAAACACACGGAATGACCCTGTATCTGAGGCAACCTTTTTGCGGGTTGTATTTCTACACCCCAGCCCCACATGTTTGGAACAATCGATTGATGGCCTTTGAGCCAGTTAGCCTTTGCGTGTAGAGGCTCCTGGGACGGTCTGAGTAACAATCCACTGAGATCATTATTCTGAATCTGTCTCTTTGCGAGCCACAGACACGCGTCTTGGACATCCACAGGAAGCTCGGTAGGATAATCGGGAATCCCGAGAAGCTCAGCAGCTCCTATAAATTTGTCGCGGAATGAGCGGCAACCCAGGTCCGCGATCATATCGAAAACATAGCCGAAACATTTGTTCTTTTGTCTCTCCCGAATGAAAAGTGGCAAATGGTTAATCCATTGCAGTGAAGTAAGATTCTCAACCGAGGTAGGTGTACTCTCCACCGTTGTGGCATCTAGAATTTCCTTGACAAACGTTGTGAATTTGGGCTCCACGATGCCATATTCGTTGCTCATGATATATGCTTCCCCAGCCTTATCGAACTCTACGATTGGCCACAATCGACTGAACAGGTGTGCATTGAAGAAGTGCTGCAAGCCATCATTGTATCGATTGATCACGTCAAGTGTTGGCTCGCGGACAATCTCTGGAGGAGGCAGTTGTCCAAGGTGGAGAATTGAGCTGCCACTGGCCTCGAATATTTTGAATATCTGCGGCAAGATAACGGTGCCTCGGAATTCGTTATGCCATTGTGGTATACTGATGTAGTCATGCCAGAGTAGACAGTCGGGTCCGAAGTGACGTTGTACAGCCATGAGCGTGCGAAGTGGAGCTTCGTAGCAAGTCTGTGCTGCTTTCGCGTTGAAAGTGCGGAGTGCGTAAGTCTCTGCCACTGACGAGTGCCACGGGTGGGAGACTGGAATATATCTGATACTACTTGCTTTCAAGCATCTGAGGTGGTAATTCTGAACACAAAGAGGCGGCAGATCTTGTTTCAGAGGGTCCGTGACGTCCACATGCTGACCTAGACCAAGAAGCCGTACAGGAGGTTCAGCGGCAAGGTCAAAATTCTCTTTGCACGCAGTGCACGGCGTATCGAATCCCTGCGTCCATGCCTCATGTAGAAACTCTTCTGGCGAGAACTCCACCTTCTGATTATCAAGAAACACTGTCAGAGTTGATTCGAAATTATGTAGACCTAAGGTCTCATCGCCTTCTTGATCCTTTCCATGAATGTACGGAGTATCCCAAGACGTATCCCTCATTTCGGGAAGACTTGAGTCCATTAATCGCGAATATGTTTGAATGAACCTATGCAGAAACAAGGGTTAGCTACCCGTGTAATAGTGACAGCTCAATAGAACGCACATCTATATGTTGCTTCGAAGTCTATGGGCAGACTACATCTAAAGGACGTCTACGATATGTCGTACAGGGACCTACTGACTTGCCTTTCAAATCTGGACCGTTTCAATGTATCGCGTTGTGCAAGAAGTGTCCTGGGTTGCCATGCAATCCGGGGTTGGGATCGACATTGATGGAAGCAGCGACGACAAAGAGCGATGCGCGAAGAACGCTGCATTGACGCGAGATTGTGCTAAACAAATGCTTTAGGGTTGTGCGCGCTGTTCACAGCAGCAGCACAAGTAGCCTAGTATCGCGGCCTGGGCCCAAACTAAACGCGGGCGGGTGGGGGGATGGTGCGATGACAAGCGCCTAGGTGCTAGCTTCGGCATAGTTGCCACGTTGTTGCCTCGCCTCAGCCACCTCTTCACAGCAGGAGTCTGGGCTCCGTGACAAGGCCCATGCAAAAGCGTCCAGCCTGACTTTCTTAACAGCATTCCCATGATCCACTCTGGCACAAGGTCTGACAAGAGACTTTGATATGTAGAGGTCGTTGTTAGTCTTTATGCTTTCCGCACTATGGCGAGCGGCGCGCCACCAGTTTGAGAGAGGGTCCAAGCTTGAAATCAACAGAATCCGGGTGTCCGAACAAGAACGCAAGGTAGCGCGCCTCAGTCATGGCAACTTACGAAACGGCGTGGAAGAATTCCATAAAGTCGGTCTCGTCATCCTAGAGAACGCGGTTGAGCCTCGTTCTATCGATCACGTGCTCCAGAGGATGCTGCAGGATTTCAACAGCTACTCACAGTCCTCAGCCCTCCGCTGGAATCAGGGGCGGAATTCTGGTAACATCTCGCAACCACTTCCATCGTTTCCTGAGTATCTCCACGAAGATATATGGGCAAACCGCCTCGGTGTTGAAATCATTGAGAACATCATCGGTCCTAAGCCCCATCTCTCGCTCGCTACATCCAACATCGCCTTGCCTCGGTCTCAAGGGCGACAAGCGGTCCATAGCGATTACTACTGCGAACATCTCGACTTCTCAGTGTTCCTAGAGGTCAACATATACCTGCACGACGTCAACCCGCGTAACGGAGCTACAGAGTTCTGGCTGGGCACGCACAACGGTTACTCCAAAGCCGATCACAGCTCGCCGACCACCGGCTGGATAAAACATGAAGTGTTCAACCGGCGCGCGAAGATATCACCACCAGTTCAGCCAGCAATCTCGAAAGGCTCTCTGGTGATTAGGGATTTACGATGTTGGCACGCAGGACGAGAAAACCACACTGACGATGCACGTATCATCTTGGGTTTCTTGTACAGTCCTCGCTGGTTCGGCTCCCGCATGCGAATGTTGCTACCAAGCAGTGCTCGACCTTTACTACAATCGTGGACCCACATTGATTGCCTCCAGTCTGTGGACTTCGTTGCGGGCAGGTTTGACTACCTACATTTCCTTCAAGACATCAATTTGTCACGAACCCCGTCACAATACCGTATACCGTATGTATCCAAGCCGGGTGCGGTCACGGTCACAGCGCAGGACTATTGGACGCCTCCTTGAAGGTATTGCTACATCCCAGCAGCGAAGCACCTTGCGATAAATAGCAGCCAGTAACGATTGGACAGCCTTCACCCCTCTGTTAACTGACAACTGGAGTCAACCCGTCCTTTCATTGGATATCAATATCTCCGTCCATGGGTTCTCCTGGTTTAGGCATCACAGTGCAAATTATGGGTTTGGAAGAGCAGGTCTCACGTTGATCTGAAAACCATGAGGACTGTGAAGGAGACCGCGGCAACGAGCACCAGAAATGGTTTGAAGAAGGCGTTGACAAGAATGATAAAGGAGAAGAGAAGCGTCAATGGAGACTTGCGCATTGCTGCGAGTAGAATCGCACCTACGTCCCACTGCCTCTTACGATCTTCCCTGATACGCAAAGTTATATCGCTGTACACGACTACATCACGCAGTTTCATGCTTGAGTTGAGAATCTAGAGGTGGATATCATGGCATTTACGAAGGTAACGATGAAATCCCCCCCTCTTCTCTACGCTACATGAGTCTGCTTCGTCTAGATTCACCGCATATCAGAGATGGCAATTAGCAAAGTGTGCTGCGGGACAAGCACAAGTGTGTAGTGATTCTGTGATGATCGGATGTCATACGCAGAAGGGAATCATTTTACTTTTGGAGCGAGCACTTGATTCTGGCCGATATTGTCGCAATAGGCTACACTATCTAGACTCGTTCTTTTACAGTGTCGCAGTCTCTATACTTTCTGGGAGAAGAAGCATGGAGATGGCAATGAAGGCGACCAGTCAGGCTTTCTTCGTCCTCTAGCCCCTAGCCCGTTATGATGCGTGGGAAGTCGCGCTACCGAGAACCCTCGTTGCTTGCTCTTTTGATTAGGTGCGTGTTTTCGGAATGCATTAATGTGCCATTAGCACCCGAACTTTCCGATGTTGCGAAGAACTACCTTCTTCCAGCCGTTCACAAAATCTGCCCTTTGACCCCTTGGCGCAACCTCCGTGATTGCGCGTAGAAAATCCGCGACCTTTTGCATACCCTCCTGCAGCGATGAGGTGTACCGAGCATCTTCCAACATCTTGAAACCACGATCATTACATCGCTTTTCGAACAGCTTAGAAAGCTGTTCCTTCGCCGCCAACGAGCTTTCGTCATCGCTCGCGTTCCAGAGGAAAGAACGACGTGGGTTCCACAATGGGAATGGCACGACGCCAGAGAACTCCCGGTCTAGAATTGCGGTGATCTTTCCAGAATCAGAATTGTAAAGTATGTTCGCGAAATGCAGGTCTTTGTGTGCGAGGCGCAGTTTCACGTCATTTAGTTGTTCGGCGTGCTCTGGCAAAGCCTTAACGAAGGCCTCAAGGCGAGGGATCGCATCGCGCAAGCAGGTAAGGCTTTCGTGGATGTTTGTCAGGTGGATATATGTTTTGATTTGCGCGGACACTAAATCCACATATGTAGAGTATGACCCGCCAATGTTCAGACTGTCGACTGATTCTTCCGCTGGCCACAGCTTCTTCATTTCGGGAGCTTGCCAGAACGTCTCGTCCACGATTCGACCCAAAATAGCTGCCCCAGCTCCATTGAGGCGGAGACCTCCGATGGTGTCCCATGGATGTGTGTGCAACTGATTAAGATAGTCTGCCAACTGATCCAGAATCGAACTTATTTGAGCTTCGGTCAAGGATCGATGCTTCTCGCTGAGTGCCGTACCTTCGATCAGCGACAAAAGTGTGTACTCGTGGCCGATTGCATTGGTAGTACTAGCATCGAATGCTACAAGATCTGGTATGGGTATACTCGTGTTTTGCTTGACCCAGGTCATCACGGCGACTTCGTTTTCTGTTTTGATTCTGGGAAGATGCTGTCCAGAGACGCGTAGTACGAGCTTTTCATACGAGATCTTCGTGTTCTGGGGCACGGTTATCATGTAGATGGAGTGATATTCGGCGGCGACTTCGGGCGATACGATGTTAAAAGCCTTGGGAAGGCCCAACGATAAGAGAAGCTGGTTAATTGCATCGTCAGAGATGGGACCAGGCAAATGGTCCTTTGGAGTCACCATAGGTAAGTTTCCAGACCGAGTTGTTCTAGACAAGAGACGTGTATTAGCGGCTTGGTGAGTTGTTGCATGGGTCCTGCAGTAAAGGCCTCGAATTTCATACCGAAAACGAGCATCGCGGGCGAACGGCGTATTTAATATGCTGTACAGGTGTACGCTTCACGGGAACACAAGCGGCGAACATTACCGGTAGTGTCATGGTAGCCTATGAGAAAGGAAAATGCCTGCATGGCTGCATCGTGTGCAATGCAACATGAGTCATGTTGCATCATCCAGAGTTGCGACACCTCAACCGCGGATACTCGACAGATATTTGATTGTATCATTCCATGTTGTAGGCAAACAAAAGGCCTTTTGCATCTTCAGGCACCGACCCTTCTTCACGCATACATCAAACATAGCCTGTTCCTGCTCGTCCTTGACCCCAACCCCACTTTCGCAACACTGTAACTGTGATCGCTGATACGGTGCAACGAGAACTGTTATCGAATGCTGCAACAGTACCAGCTTTGTTTGGAAGGATGTCCATTATCAAAGTACTGTACAGGTGAAGTTCAATGGTACATCTTGCGCCGACGAAGAACTGTAAGACTAGCGGTGCGCTGGCATGAGGTCTACGCTCAACGGTCCACCTTATGATCCCGCTTGTATCTCGGCAAGAGGGCCAGTGGAGATGGTCTAGGCTAGTCTCGGACTCGGACGAAAGAATGGAGTTGTAATGGGTGCAACTCTGACGCCACAGCACGGGTACTTGAGATTTGCGATTTGCGACTTCAAGTCCTGGAGTATACGCAGTCAATCCTTTAAGCATACTCCAAAGCTGGTATTCTGCCACCGCTTCAAGGCGCATCACCTTCAGCATCTCCTCGTTGCCGGATCATGGTTGTAGTCGAAAGCCTTAAGAAGAGCCACTAGATGCCAAGCCGCGCCCCCGACAGCGCAAAGATGGAAGATTTGATGTGAGCAACCCCAGATGTCAAAGAGGCCGGGACGAAATCTCTCAGGGAAGCGAACCTATATATTCCGTTAGTGACTGAAGTCAGGAGAACCCCTGTTTGTCATGTACTCACAGCATAGATGAAAGCACCAGTGATATAGCACAATCCTTCGCAGATCATCAACCACCATCCCATCTGCTTATCAGCCTGTTCAATACCAAATGACTGCGCAGCATGCGTCATAGGAACCGCGCCTGACCAACCGATAGCACAGAACAATGTCGCTCTCGCCCAGCGCCACTTTGGCGTACGAAATCGCGGTATCGAACAAAGTGTAGCGGCACCCGTGACAATGGTGGTAATCCCAACAGAATACAACATCCAATACTGTCTCTCGCAGTAAAATCCATAGTATGTCCCAGAGTACACAGTTCCAACAATCAGGATGAATATGCCGTAAAGATCGAGTTGGAGCCAGGTATGGTAAACGGCGCTAGAGTGGTTCCCAAACATGTGAAACGTAGCGCTGATCCCGAAGCAAGCAACCGCACTTCCTATGAAGACGCCGAACGCGAGGAGATCGTTGATATCAGCGGTAACGTATCGCGCACTAACGCTGTTGTAAGCGTAGATACCATAGGAGAGTATCACTACTGCGCCGATGAGATGCGTATAGATGTTGCCGGTCTGGTTGTGTAGGTATGACAGGCTTTTCAGACATTCTCGATAGGAGCCCGTAGTAGATCGGTAATGGTTTCTGAGGTACTCGTTGTCGCGTTGCCAAGCCTGTACTTCTTGGAAAGTCTGGAGGAGTCTTTTGGGTGTGGTCTTGGCCTCCTCCCCTTTGGTCGTAGTAAGGGGGGCTGTGTAGAGAGACATGTTCGCTCTCTTTCAGTTCGTGGGAAAGAGGAATCTGGAGTTTTGCGAATCGATCAAGTTAATGAGAGGAAAGGGAGAGGTAATAAAAAGAGGACCGTGGATGAGGGCAATGCGCATGTTTGTACTTTTGCGTGCTCTCGTACAATTAGCGTTTGGAGCATAGGCCGCCGAACGGGGATGAATGTTATGCTGGTAAGTAATCCAGAAGTGATCATGTAAAAGTGCAAAGGGCAATGAACATTGTACTTGAAGGAAGGACGGACATCTTGGTATTGCGGCTATACGGCTGCAAGGATTCGGCCGATATGGCATGGCGGGCTATCTTTGAGCGATAATTCCAAAGACGGAGAGGACCTGGAACTGGGAAACGGGAGCCGGGTCTGGAGGTGGCAGATGGTGCCCCGAATTAAGGGGCGTGTGGCCGCTAATTGGTGGACCGCCACGTCATCTCAGCACCGCCACAAGATAAGCAACGTATTCCGGTTACACGTCGCAACGTCGAACAAATGACCACGATCCAGAACAATGCAGCACGTAGAAACAAATCGCTTAATATTTTTGCGTTTCCGTCTAGAAACGTACATACTTCATTCCGTCGTAAAGGAGGGGTATATGGCGAAAGCATTGTATCGCATCGCTTAAAATCGTGTCGTATATCGTATCGCGTAGTATTCCGTAATATTTAACCGAAGAAGAGGAACGAAGGGGAGAGGAGCATGCTCAATCCGAATGCCAATCGCTCGCATTACTCTCTCCAAACTCGCTCCTGTAGCGCCTACAACCCAAAAGTCAACACACCAGCACCGACAACAAATCAATAACAAAAGCACATCTGCCAAAGAAACGCACTTACTCATCCCTTCCCCCGTTTTCGCTGCTTTCACCCTGCATGCCCAGCTTTCCCGCGTCTAATTGCGCCAATCCGCTCTGACCAAGTGTGTCACCACCCCAGCCTTCCTTCTTGCCCTCGACAAGCATCTTCATCATGTCCTTCAACTCCTTGACTTCTTTCCTCAGTTGTCGGACTTCCAAGACGGCAGTGTCGAACTCGACATTAGGACGCGAGGCCTGAACCTTCTTGTCCCAGCCATCAGCTTCAAAGTCACAGCCTTCGAGGACTTGTTCCCACTCCATAGTAGTGTCTTCGTCGTCTTCGCCGCGGCGACGGTTTTCTTTGACGACCCAGGCTTCTTGCTGTTCGAGCATAGCGGTGACGACAAGGAGGGGGGAGTATATCACTGCCATGACCTGTTCTGGTGTCAGCTTGACTGTGGACTTAATGCAGCTTATAAAAAATGGAGTGAAAAAGTGCTGTAATCAGTACTAGGTGATAATTGTCTCATAGCCGAAGCTCTGAAGTAGCAAATACATAGATATTCATCATGTAGATAGCGAAGTGGTAGGCAGCATATGCTAGCAAGAGTACGTACCATGTCGTTGAGTTTGTCGTAGCGCTTCTCGTCCATCCACCACTCGAATGGAAGGATGAGACAGAACATCTCGATGAGGTTGAAGGGAGCGATGAAGACGTTCTCATCGGGAGCGCGGACGAATTGCATCGTCTTCTGTGAGAAAAGTGCCATATATTCGTCGATGGCGTTCTGTGTAATGTCTTCGTAGGCAGAGTTGTAGAGAGCAATAAGAACGTTGAGCAGGATAACCATGACGACGAATGTAAAGATGTAGTAAAGGATGATACCAAAGGGAGGCTACTGCTTGTTAGCACATACTTGATTTGAGCAAATAAGTTGTGACGTACCGAAAAGTTGTCGAAGCCCTCGAACTCAGGAGACTGCATGACAGCGTTCAACATAGCTTGGAACACAAAGACAGTGTCGTTTGCCAGCTGGTCTTCCGCGATGTCGAGACCAATAAAAGCTTGGAAGAATCCTATCATGACAACAAGCAGTAGCATGAAGAAGATGAGCGACTCGCGCATCATAACCTTGAGAACAACGAGCATGGCACCGAAGAAGCGGAAGGTGTCGAGATACAACAGCAGACGCATCCAGAACATGGGCGCGGTGAAAGCTAGGAAGTCGTAGCTCATCTTGTTCAGGAACTTGCGTCTCGTATCCTTTTCGTCGCTGAGTGGGTGTCCAAGAGCTACCATGCGCAGGACGAAGCTGACAGTGAGCAGTGCGTACAGGGTGCTGTTGAACATGTTCCAGAAGGAGATGTAGAATCGTCCGACCTTCCAGAACTTGTTCGCCTCGTCGCAGATGAAGCCTAGAGTGAAGAGGTACAGCAGACCTTCGACGACATCCAGGTCACCAGAGGGGTTGATAGTGTTGATAGCACCGGTGTAAAGGCCCAGGAAGATGAGGGACGTAGCAATTTGCACCCAGTTCTGGTACTTTGGAACTCGCATGCGATCTGGATCCAGATGTGCCCAGTAGCTGGTGTTGGTCTTGTTCTCGTACGGCACAAAGCGGCTGGGGTCCTCGTCGTCCTGGACTACCCATCCGCGCCATAGGTAGTTGATGCACTTCTGGTAGCCGGACGATCCGATGACTGTCACAGCGTGGAGATCGACAGCCTTCTCAACGACGTTGGCAGGCGTAGTTGGCTCTCCATCAATCAGTGTCGAGTAGCGCTTAAGTAGCACCTCCTCGAAAAGGTATGCGGTATCCTCTTCGGCCTCAATCAGGCGCTTGGCCATGATCTCTGCCGCCACAGCGCGGACTTCGTGTAGGTCAGCATCCCACAGCTCTGCAGTAGCTTGCTTCTTGAACCACTTCTTGACCTGCAACAAGCAGAAGACGACGCAGGCATTGTGCTCGGGAGCTCCTGCTTGCTTGGCAGTCTCTAGCACTGCATCGGTGATGATACTGCTATGCGCCCTGGTGACCTGTTCCTCTTCGAGCTCGCAGGGCACAACTTGTTCGATTTGATGCTTCAGTCGTAGGGCTACTATGGTAACATCCTTGGGGTCGATGGGCGGAGGAGGGAGGTGTTCGCGACGCGACGTTGGCAGAACTGGCGAATGTTAGTACTGGAGGTGGAAGAGAAAGAAAAAAAGATGAAAAACTTACGCGCGCTCATCTCATCCTGGACTCTGTGCCTTCCGCTTTGACCATCCGAGCTGAAAAGCTCATTCCACCGCACCATTGTTGCGGCGGAGCTCCGTAGGCGCCGTGTCTCGCAGAAGTTCTATCAAGCTTGGCGGGAGCAGTATCGAGCTGTCCAAGTTCTCAGCAACAAAGTACCGAGGTAGCGTTGAGCTTCGAAAAACGAATAATGCGCGGCACAACGATACACCACAACGCGCCCAAGAGTTGAGCAGAAGGGAAGCTGCGGTGTCAGAGAGACAGCAAAGCAGCGGGATCCACGATAAGACAGGGTTGTTCGTGCTAGTGTTGGCTAAACCTGGATTAACACCTGCAATGCTCGGCGGTCCACAGCGTCATCGCACGATGTCCATCTCCCGCTCCACCTAGCCAACGGCCCAAGCTCCCGCCTACTGCTGAGCCAGCACCAGCGGACGCATCCGACTCGACGGTTAGAAAAAAAATGGGACATTAGTACTTGTTCATTCTTGATTTGCTGCTAGAGCCGCTAAAAGCCGCTTTTATAACCCTCCACTCTATGCTCAAACGCAGATATGCATGTGGCTGAAGACAAGGTGCTGTACATGTCGAGACGCCTTTTGTGCATGCTCGTGAACCACCAAATCGACGCCTCAAACGCCCGTGCCCACTTTTGCAGATGCCCCTTGGTCTTCATTATCATGGTCGCTCGTATGCAAGTCATTCTTTAGCCGCTTAGTCGGCCTCAGCAACACCACCCTCGTCGCTCGTGCTCTCGTCCTCGTCACCGCTGACTTCCTGGTTCTCGCGCTCACGCTTCTCCATGAGCGCAGCCAACTCGGCATCGTCGTTCTCGGTGACAGCCTTTGGTGCCATCTTAACCTGGCAGTCACCTCCGGCCTTTGAGATGTTCTCCTTGATGTCGATGATAGCTTGTTCGAGGCATGCGATACCGGCGCTCTTGTCGAGACATTGCGAGGTGAGAACTGAGACAATTAGCAAGACAACGTACATACTTGCTCTTCCATCACGTACCGTAAAGAGGTGGGGATACGAGCTTGACCTTGACCTGGTTCTCGGGCGTGTTCTTCGCCTCAGCGCATCGCAGGGCGGTCTTGACGGCGTCGATACCCTCGTATCCGAAGCAGGTGACTATAGACGTCAGTAAAAGTGCCCACATTGTGTTTTTTCCTCCAACATACCCTCAATGTCCGATCGAACCTTGGTAGGCTGAGGTGTCAGCCTCTTGCCAATGTAGCTCTGGAGCTCCTCCTTGACAACGTCGTTGGGGAATGTGACATCGTTCCAGACCTCGGGGTTCGTAATGCTGAGCTTGAAGGCGTCGATCGAGTGTCCGTACTTCTTGTTTAGCGGCCAGCCGATTGTTTGGTAAATCTCCTCGATGGGTGTCTGGGTCTTCTCGGCGACGTGGCGCATGATGCTGTGTACCATCTTCGACTTGTTGTATCGCTCCTCGCACTTTACGATATCCTCAGGCGACACTCGGCGCTTCGACAGATCGATGTAACCCTTGTCCTTGTCTACACGGAGTACGACGACGACTTCGTTGCGGCCAACTCGGATGAGCTTTTGGATCGATCGAATACGTCTTCGCGAAAGTTCGGAAAGCAGGATCATGCCGTCGATGTTGTCTGGATTCTCTTAGTCTTGCTCGTGATACCTTCAATATGCCCTGAACCCACCGTATTCGAGCAACTTGACGTATGCGCCCATCTCTGCAATCTGCTTCACGTTGACCATGACGAAGCTCTCCACCTCCGGGTACTTCTCTTCGTAGAATCGGCAATTTGTGAGAGACATGATGAATGTGTGCTCTTCGTTTTCTCCTAAGTGGTGTTGGGTACGTCGTTCAACTGTCGCCGAGTGGGGTCGCTTCTAGTGTTGTTCCTCGCTTGTGGATAGGAATTTTCAAAGTTGTCGTGCGGTCGACGACGTGGGCGACGTGCGGAATGGGCGGAGTGCTATGTCTTTCGGTGTGCTGAGCGGAGACCGAGTGGAAGCGTCGAAGTAGTTGGTTCGCAGTGACTCAACCTAGATTTGCCCACTCACTGTGTGAGATCGCCCGCCGCCGTGGGGCAACAAAGGCCAAACCGCTTTCGGTAACGCGCGACCCCCGTCCAGTCTTTCCGCAACCTCACCACTACATCAAACAGAAAAACTCAACATCTTCTTAGAGCAGGGTAATTCTTCCTACTACAATAAACGTATTAAGATATTAAATAGAAATCTAGAAGTCTACAATACTATTGATCCTTGTAAGTTTTTTGTTAGGAGCTATTGTAAGCTGCAAGGTAAAGCTTGTTATCTCTATACCTGTTCGGTTTTTCCCTTGTGTACGGTGTCACCACATCCTTCTCCGAGGATGCAGAATATTTTCTTAACAGCCTACTGTACTGCTGATGCATTAGAAGATATTTCGGCGTGTAATCATACAGACGAACGGCATCATATTCGAGCTTCATCATGTCAGGGCAAGCAGGCAATCAGTCATGGATGTTCACATGGCAGAAAAAAGAGCTTTGGGATCATGGAAATTTATTATCGAGCAGCACGGCACTACTTTCCATTTAACATACAATATGGGGATCCAAACACAAAGCTTATAGATCAACCCCAAGTTATATGCTTAACACGATGTTCTTTCATCATCAAACTCGCCAGTCCTCAGTCCGAAGACTACATCAAGCACCTAGGCGCCGAAAAGAGCCATCAAAATACCACCGAAGAGGACGGCAGCGCCCACATTGGTAGCATCCGCAGCATCGGTGAAGGGAGGGAGAGAGGGAGCCGTGTAAGAAGCGCTAGCACCACCTGTGCCAGTAGCGGTAGCAGTCTTGGTGCCGTTCACGTGGAACGTGTGCGAGTAAGTGTTTGTACGGCTGAAAGACGGTGAGATGATGCTTCCAGTAATCGCAGTTCCAGTGAAGTTGGCAGTAGCATGGACAAGAGAGGTGTCGATGGTAGCGCTAGCCGATGGCACGGGAATAACTTCGGTCTCGCTCACGGTGACAGTGCCAGTAGACTGCTCGAGCATATTAGGTGATTGCTTGAGAATTGATGCATGTAGCAGGGTAAGTACTTACAGAGGTCAGACCTGCTGGAGGTAGGTGGCAGGCAGTGATAGTAAAATCCTTGCCACTGTGCGTGACAGTGTGGAGGCTACTGACGCAAGTCTCTGTTGGCTGAATCTATGGGGTGTTAGACGATGAACTTGAAGGTATATGGCAGCTTTGCCAGAAGTGACATGGGTGCAGGGCTCATTTCCAAATACCTTTGAGATAGCGGACGACAGGATGGAGGTCTGGATGGTCATGCCATCGGACTTGGAGGACTCCAGAACGTCAGTGCCGCTAGCACCAGGAGGGGGAGCAATGACGGTTACAGTGCTAGGAGGAGCTACCTCTGTAACAGTCAAAGTGTTGCAGTGGGTGCTAGACGAAGCCGCCGGCGGGTCGACAAAGGTCACCGAAGTCACGAGCTGGACGGACGTAACAACAGACGCTACATCCGAAGAGTACGCGGTACCTGCGAAGGCGACATTGACGATGGCAGTGGCCGCGAGGAGGTTCTTGAAGATAGACATCGCAATGTGGTAACTTGTTGTAAGTGAGTGTGGTTGAGAAGATCGAAGGTGTGGATTGAGTTGCTTCGACGTTGATGGGGAGCGAGTGGATTCTTTTAAACGAGTGTAGAAGAGGTAGTAGGTTAAGAGAAGGTGAGTCAGGATTTGGGGGTATTTATCAACAAGAACGGTCGTTTGTTGGTGCGGGGAGTGGGCCGATCGCGTTCTGATATCGCCAAGGCTGCAGCGTGGGTGAGCGTATCAGGCAGGAGCAACGCGTGGCGGCAAATTGGATATGAATGTGAGAGCATCTACGCAAGAGCGTGCAGAGTAGCGCCAATAATACGACTCTGCACCTCGGAGCGGTACAGTGAACGCACGCTTGCGAGATTCCCCATCTGAAATATCGTATCTGGTATTTGTGTCCAAAATAGAAGACAGTGTTCGATGCGTGTATACTTGACCTGCCTGGTGGCGTTTTAAGTGAAAAGTAAGTGAATAATTCCGATGTTATTATAAAGTACTAACACCAAGTATCCGATGCTGGATATGCTCAAAACGTAGGCCACCGTGTATAGTCCCAAATGCCCATGACCAAGTACACCAGCCTGGAGTGATGCGCCAAAATACAATGCAAAGCTCCATCACCATGCCCAACTTGTCCTCCTGTTATGCACCCGTATTACTCCGACTAACACTGCCATTCGACGTCCCCTTGTCACCACTCTCCTCGAGTCTGAAGTCCGCATTATCGCCTTGGATCCTCTCGATCTCATTCTGTATCGCCAGCACCCAATGATCTCGCTCGGCACGCGATCGAGCCCTAAAGACCACGCTACGGCCTTTGCTACCAAGCTTAGCCACCCTCTTCAACTTTGTTCGCTTGCCTTCTTTCCGATTCTGTTCGCCGCCACCTGCTCCCTCTTCGGCGCGAAACCAGCTCTTTGCTTTGCCATGCCAGATGACGAACGTTGTCATGACATCCTCATCAGTCGACGTCCAGCCGTCTTCGAGGTAGATACGTGGGAGAGCGTGGTGACCTGGTTTGTTTGCATCGAAGGTCTGGTTCTGGTAGAGGAGGTCGTTTTCCGTGAGGAGACCAGAATAGATGTAGCAATCCTTGAGATCGAGATTCGCTATGCGCTCGTGGTGGATGTGCGCCAATTGTTTGCCGACCCTGCTTCGCAAGACATCTCGAAAGATCAGCAACGTACCGGCGGTCAGCAAAACGCTACATCGTGTAAAGGGCGCGTGTATGCGGGGCTTCCGATACAACATTCCGCTCATATGGATACTGCGACAACAAGCGATGCCACACATGTTGTAGAGCTGTGGTGAGGCAAATGACTGAGTCACCTCCCATTTTCTCGCAAACTGTCCGACGTGTGCTTCTGTCTCTTCGTCAATCTTAAGGGCGCTGAGATTGCGACTACGTGTTGATTTGTAGAGTGCGATATCAGACGCAGTGCGGTGTTTCCAATACTTGGCGAGAGCGCGCAGGTGCTGTATCCACTCTTTCCTACGGGCTTTATCTGCGGCCTGAAGATTGGGTTAGTCAGGAAAGCAGATGGTATACCTTAGGGCCACATACCTGTAGGCGAATGATGAGGCCATTCTTCATGACCAACTCCAAGGTGCGATCGATGTCAAGGTCGCTTGTGGCTCCATCATTGCGCATAGAATCATCAACTTCTTCGTCAAAGTCCACATCTGAGCCCTCCTCGAGGTCCTGATCAGCGGGGCTAGCACCCAGCTGTGCTTTTCGAACTTTAACAACGTCCGCCAGGTTGATGTAGCCATCACAGTTGAGCAGGTTTTGTTCTTTGCGAGCAGCTTCATCCGCTGCGTCTTCGTCATGCAATCGCTTGGCCTCTGTCGTACCCGAATGTCCTTCCATCAACCACTCGATCTGGCCATCCTGCGTAGCATAGGGATTGACAGCCCAGCTTTCTGGCACTGCGCCCTTGACCGCTTTTGCTGTCGGTACGTTTGCATTTTCCGACGCAGGTAGTCTCGGAGGCGGAGGTGGAGTGACCTTTGTGGGTCGTGAGAAGACAAGATACTGGTCGTGGCTAGCGAAATAGAGTTGCTTGTGGTACATGAGCCCTAGTCGCTGCGCCCGTCCTCGCTGCCCTGTCAGCCTGATCAGGAAACCTTCGACAGGAACTGGTTCGGTCAATGTTTTGTGTTTCTTCCTGGTCACCGCAGTCGTAGGGTAGTGTGTCTTCGGTCTCAGTTCCAGTTCGTGCGACTTGAGCATGGCTATCGTGCCATACATCTTCCGCTCGTTGGCTCCGTGTATCCATTCCAGTCGATCGTATCGCTTCCAAGCGAGGCCAATGCGCTGGTCCTTGATCCAGGACTCCAGCACATCTGCCCACTCTGGTGCATCTTGTAGCTGATCCAGGCAACGCCTAATCAGCTCTTGCGCAACTGCCTGCTCTTCTTGCATAGTTTTGAGCAAGGCTTCTTCTATATTGTCTGCATCGTGCACTTTGTTCTGGGATGCCTCCAGCTTCTCAAACGGATTGGCTATTCGAATACTCAAGCTCATGTCCGGTATGCTGATCTGAAGTTCGGAAGCGCGTTGCCAGCCAAGGACGTTTCGGAGGAAGGTATACCATTCTACTGCATTGGAGGCAGTCCGAGCTTGCATAATAAAGATCAAAGTTTCACGTGAACCAGGTGAGGACACGACCATCGACTTGTCTAACGACGAGTACAGATTGACTTTGCAAGTCCTCTTACCCAGCGGAATTTCGTACGCAGCCTTCTTGCCTGCTCCTGCGTTTTCGATCTCTGGGATGACCTGTCAACAAAGTCAGCAACTTGGTTCGGAGGAAAAGGTTGGAGAGACGCACTCGAGTCTGATAGAACTGCAGTACAAACTCGGCATCATTGACGTGATTGTGGCGACAGACGATCATGTACTCCCGCCACTTTTCTTTGACGCGGGACACGACCCTTTGGTTGACGTTCTCATCGAAATCTTCTGGGACCTCTGCAGCGGCGTCAACGCGCACAAGCATGCGCTCCATCTTGACGACCAGCCCGTCTTTGATCTTCTGTCGTCTCACTTTGGTACCTGCTCGCTGAACGGTCATCTGTGCTTTTTTCGCTTTGAGATGGAGGGTGGCGCGTCGGGAGTCTTCTGGAATGTCGAACTTTACAAGATTTCGTAGGTTTGACTTCTTGCGCGTCAATTCTCCCGTGGCCGAGTCGACCTCTTGTAGTTGTCCCGAGGAAGACGACAAGATGCCCGATCTCCTCCTCACTTTTCCCATTATACCCTTCGCGGGCGGCTTCGAATCGACATCAGCGGAGGCCGGCGCCTTGTTCATGTCAGCGTTACGCAGCAATGACGATGTGGAGTTTGCATCTACAGAGGCTGCTCCAATAGTTGATGCAGGATTTCCGAGGCTCTCTACATTTGACAGTGGGCGTTTGCCTAGCGACTTTGATCCTGCCTCCTCTTGGCCCGAAGGAACATGTAAGCCACTTGCCTGCGGTTGTTGTTGCTGTTGTTGTTGTTGCTGTTGTTGCTGTTGTTGCTGTTGCTCGTGTAGCGGTCTTTGGTCCGAGTCTTCTCCATTTTCATCTTCGTCCATAGGTATTGAGGACGCAGTAACGAAGGTCTTGGAGCTGGATCGACGGAAAGTGCGTCCGTGGGGTTCGCGTTCGGAGTCCTCGTCTTCTGGTTCTGAGGGTGCGTCTACGAACTCATCGTACTCTGCATCTTCCATAACATCGCTCTTTTGATCTGAAGCACGCGGAACCTGCAAGGCGGGTGGAGTGGCAGCAGTCGCATCTGCTGCGCCGTTGGCTCCACTAGCCTCCGACTCGTGCGCGCCATCCTCTTCCTCCTCTGCTTCGAGTTCTTCAGGCTGGGGGAAACTGTGCTGGAAGAGGGCAGAGGAACTGGGTCCTTCAAGGCCGCTCAGCCGTCGTTGGCGGGCCTCGCGTGGATCGGAAGAGAAGGTCGCCGTGCGCGTTGAGTAGTTGATTCGGAGGTGGTGCTTGTACCAGTCGCGTCGGTGTTTGGTGAGCCATGCTGTCTACCTGTATGTGAGCCAAGGCCTCGTCGAGAAATGGGGAAGGCATACTGGGATAGGCCCGATGAAGTAGCGTCTCGAGGTAAGATGCAGATGCTCGGGCGTCGCATGTTCCTGCGCGTCTTAGCGTGCGACATGTCAAGTCTGTAGCTGTGCATACCAATTTCTGCGAGGTATACGAGTCGGGTGGCAGATTAGTAACGTCGGGCTGGTGCCATGAGCGGCGCTGCTGGTCAGGCATTGGACCTCTCCTATCTCGTTTTGGCCGCGGAGGTGCGCTCGTTCAAGTCACGGTAGAGTGCTGGGTAAACCACATAAAACACTAAACAACATACATTAACAAGCTAGTGAGAGACGCAACTACTTCGCATAAGGAGAGGCAGCCACGAGGGCGTGGCGGAGAAACAGGGCTACCGGCCGTGCTGCAGGCCGAATTGAGGTTGAACATGCTCGGCGCTATCGTCATCGTTGAGGAACCTAGCCCCCTGTGCCAATCATACGCATGATTTGCAGACCAATGACTTCGCTAGACCGACAGCAACGCTCGCAAATGCGCAGCGCGGCAGCAAATTCCCGTAGTTTCTGACTATCTACCACTGTTTAGCGTCTTCCCAAATTCAACATAGCTCTTACAAAAAGCAATTCTTATGCTTCCCACTCGCACGCATTCACATCTCTCGACGACCCCAGTACCTCTATACTTGTAGACTAATCATTGCCCCTCGATGATTCATTCACCTGGTCAGGTGTCCCCAGCCTTGCCTGCATACCTACCAGGCTCAGTTCTGGTCCCACAGCACAATTTGGTACTGATTCATCCAAGCGAACCACAATCTCGCCAAAACGTGCAGTTTCAGATCTCAACCTGCCCATTCCGGTAACTTTCTCGCAAAGCTGTTGATTTCCCTCTCGGGTGATCTGCTTTGTGGCGTCAGGTGCTACGAGGGTCTTCCTAGTCACCACGATCTTGACAAGTCGGTTGCACAGACGATGTGCATATCAAAGGATGAAAAAGGAAGTCGCAATTCGGCTCTTAGCCATTACACCGGAAGGATCGAATCCGTCGCGAGAAATTGATTTTCACACCTCGGTGCTCTCCATCTGCGGAGTAGCTCGCCATGCCATCTCAGCCGCACCCCTCGCTGCAACATATTCCGGATCAGAATACAGAACGTTGGCCCGCGATCCAAATGCTTCAACGGCCCCCACGATTACCTGTCGAATCCCTGCGTGACCAACACTTTCTAGGCTTCCCGTCATCATGATACTGATTTTTTCGGGGAAACCCCAACGTGTGTTACTGGAACTTACGTCACGCAAGTACTCCAAGACAAAATCATGTACCTCCTCTGTCGAGGCTCCGTTGCTGCTACCTAGTTCAAAACTTGTCCGAATCCCTCTTGCGACGTCGGGCGTATTGCTTCCCTTTTCTAGCACTGCGCAGTAAAGTAGAATAGCAACCTCGGTATACTCCACGAGGACGAGGTGGCGTCTCGGGAGCTCGTGCATCTTCTTACCGCGATTTCCAAGTTCAGGTTTGTTCTCGGAGAGGCCCATCTCATAGCCAGCATATGCAGCAACAAGCTCGTGTAACTGCTTTCCGCAACATGTCGGTGTGTGCAATCCTGCGTACTCGATGGCCGAAGCGACATCTTCCTGGCGCAAGGCAGGCAATGTGGGAAAGCTCAGTATTACCGATATAGGGTATCCGACTTTACTCTCCGCCATCTGTGCTGCTGCTTTGAGCATCCCAGCCAACACAGCTAGGTCGGCAGACGCTGCGAGACCGAATGTTTTGCGTACGCCACGCCAAACTCTTCGCAGGACTTCGTCCCACAGACTTTCCATCATGTCGTATGGTGGACTACAAGAGAGATAGTCAGTATTTAGTCGCGAAAGAACATGGGCTTATCAGCTCACCTTATGTGTTCTGAAGAGGACAAAGAGAGCCGTTGCATCATCTCCATATATTCGTACGTTCCTTCCACCCGACCTAGACTTTCGAAACTTCCGTCAGGCCATCGAGCAGATGCAGTTGCATGGTTTGCTGTGAGTGCGAGACCAACTAGCGGAAATTGCGACATGAGGTTTCTATTTGGTCACAAAAGTAGTACCAGTTATACAACACAAGCAAGTTTTGACATAAAATCTGACTCTCCAGCGAACGTAGTCTGCATGTGTAGCTACGTGTAGGTTGTTGCAAGGATGAGCGTCAGTTATGGCCTTGAGTAGCACAGCCACAACTGCAGCCTGGGCCAGACACTTCCGAACCCAAGTCCGCGGGGTTAAGATGTAAGCTGTATAGTAGACGTTGATCTGTTTTCGAGGCGCTATCCCAACAACACTTACCCAGAAGGTATGCGGTGTCGCATTTCTGTAAATGTTATATTAGAAAAATTTGCGTATGATTTTAGAGGAGATTTCAATTCTAGAGTGTAGAACATGGAACGATTGAGCTTCTTCATGCCCTAACCGCACTGTACCTCATATCCTTGCTTCAGTAATGTTTTTGGGTCTAGTTCTTATTTACAGGCTATGAGTAAAGTTACGGAATCACAGTTTAAAGGTTCAGGCAGTTCTCTTATTCATCCCTAGTGTCGACTGGGTCGAAATTGCATCATTTGCTTGTGGCTTCCATACTGTCAACCCCTCTAATAGTATCTCGCACCACCACTACCGCCCCTCCCATCACGCTGTTCTGTCGGCCTTGTCGAATCATACCCCCTCCGCCCATATGCTGAATGAGGCGCATGTGTAGGGGACGGTGCCTGTACACCCCGAGGCCTATCGAGATGCGTAGATACAGGTGACATGGAAGGCTGTCTGGCAGAGGCTTGTGCCGATAGCACTGCAGCTAGTGGTCCAGGCGGTCCGCGGTGACCGAGTGGTCCTCTATCTGCTGGCGGTGCAGTCAGATTTTTCTTCGGTGCTGGCGCAAGAGAACGTAGTGCTTTGGTCGTAAGGACGCGTTCTGGGATAAAACGAGATTGCTTTGTCTTTCCCTCTGCTTTCACGGCTGGTTCGGGCGCCACCACCGTCTTCTGTGCTTGTTCAGCGTCCATCTCTTGATTATTCGCTCCTAAACCAGTATAACTAGCTGCTTTGGTAGCCCACCTGGCTTCCAACATCCTTCGTCCTTCTGCGCTCTTCCTTTCGGCCTTGCGGTTCTCGGCTTTCTCGATCCCAAGCTTGAGCGCTTCACCTACAACACCGTGTAGCGCAAGAAAAGGGAAGACGAGGATGTGACGGAGTGGCAGCTGGATATCAAGTCTGACTTCGTGGTCGTCCAGGTTCATGTGAAGTTGCGACCTTTTCTGCTCCATATTGTCGACCTTGGCCGACGCAGGCTTCGCTGATTCGTAAAACACCTTGCGTTCCTCGAATTTCCCCCATATCTTCCACTCTTCAAGCGCATTGCAGTCTAGATTTTGGGGACCGAATCGCTTCAAAGGGATACGAAGGGCACGGATTAGAGCTTGAGTATGGAGGACATTCAAGTCAAGTTTAGGCGTAAAAGAGTTGCGGAAATCGAGATACCAGCTCAGACACTCTGTGAGACCGCGAGCATCGAGACCAGACGGTAGATGATGGAGGCCACGGAGGAGGTCGTCGAATGTTGGTAGGATATAGCCGCTGCGCTTCTCTGCGATGTACCTGCCCGGCTCGAGGTGATCGGTATGTAAGTTCGCATCATGCTTTCCCTTAGTATTGTCGGTCTTGAAGCCTATTATGACATTCTTGACTGAGTCGCGTTGTATTTGGTTCATCGCTGCGCTTGAAACGTTCGTCGTAGGAGGGCCACGGAAGAAAGCCTGGATAGGTGTCAGCTATGATGCATCTCGCCATTATTGGGAAGACCCCAGCTTACCTGCATGCCCAATATGTCTGACCCACGATAGTCGTTGTTTGACATTCGAACCATCACGCCTTTCCATCGAACATGATGAGGATAGTACGCGTTTATCTCTTTAGCGGATAGAGGTATTCCAGGAGGAAGCAAGGCGTCCACTGGAAGGGCATCGTTATACCATGTATAGTTTGGCCCAAGGTCCTTCCCGATAGAGCCAGACTTTTGCAAAACCCCACGGACTGCCCTCATATTAAAGTCCCTTGTCTCATCAACCCACGTCCGCTGAAAAGGGGGGTATTTGTGTACGGATTCGATAGAGTCCAGTGCATATGGAGTCAAAAGTAACTTCGCAGTGCGAGCCATGGCTGGTGTATTTGGGGAATAAAGCGTTTTCAACTTCGTAGGTGTGCTTGGTAGCTGTGGGAATCCGATGGAGCCTGATGTCGCCATGTGCGGAAGCGCGTCTTCGATGATGAGTTTGCCTGAAAAGCGTAGCCTGACCGTCAAGCTATAGGTCTCGTAGGCTGACTGCTCGCCTTCTGTCTCGGACTCGCCAACCTGGTGACACCTCGATATTGAATGCCATGAGCTCCTTTTCTCGGTCTTTGCCTTCTTCTTGAACGCCTCGACACTAACGATGGTCTTTGGAAGTCCAAGTAAGTGCCTCCCCTTCGTGCCTTCTGGGGTACCTGGTATCGACACGGTCTTGTTAAGCGCTATACCGTAGCCGTTACTCTGATCACCAATACTACATTCTCTACTCTTCTGAGTATCTGTAACTTGGTACTCGTAGTCCATGTCGTCCCATGCTGATCGATCACTAGGCGTGCCCTCGATATCGTCGTGTTGGAAGACTCCAGTCGCGTAACGCCAGTCGCGTTTCTTCGGAATCCAAGCCGAGCACTTCTGGGGCCGAGCATGGTGAGCAAGAATATCCTCTTCCTTCATGTTGTGTACAGACTAGCAACTCGCAAAGTCGCTCGCAAACGTTGAGACTCATGCGTGATTCAAGTGTTTAAGAGGTAAATTTTCGGAATATCATATCACGAACAGCGCATAACGCACTGGCTCGCCTACGGTAGTCTGCGCAAACGTAAGTGAAGGCAGAAGAGGCACGTGTGGTTCCACAGTGCGCGTCCACACCGATGTTCACAACACTGAAGCGAAAGGAAGGATAAGACAACCCGGGGGTATACAGCGACATCTTAGCAATACGGCGTATGATTGCTCGACAGCGCTCCATGATAGTGCGCACTCGACTGTAGACTTTGTGTTTGCGACATCAAGCCCATTGCGACCTCTGCCAAAATGCAATTCCACTCTGAACCCATCACAAGAGAGAAAGCTCTAAAGACTGCCAAGGGAATTGCAAGAACAGATATTACTGGTTTGCAAGCCGTGAAGTGATTGGAGAACTGTAACCTGAAAACTTCAAGGTGTGGACAAAGGATAGAATACGGAAAGTTAGAACAAGACGGACAAGCAATCTGGAAGCAACGGTCGACGACTGTCATCGTTACTAAATGATAAAGCAATACTAGCAGTCCCATGAACAAAGTCTTCTGGCATCTCAGACCCAGCTAATACACCAGATTCTGCGCTCGAACTTGCTGAATTCTTCAGGACTGGCCGCATGGGCCCGTCTCATCCGGGGCCTCAACCTAGGCTACGCCGTGCAGGTCGACGTCAGACAGATTTATCGCTGAAGTGCCGCTACATCATCATAAGTGAGACGGATGCGAGGGTAGGAAGCATGCACCTTCAAGGTTGATGTAGCAGGATGGAGCGGACCCGCGAAAGGGACGCGTTTATCCAAGCGGCTCCCGCATCGACAGCCAATCATGACGCGTCTACGTCATACACGCCTGTCTCCTGCAATATCCGAGGTCTATCTTCAGCACCTTATCATCGCGTTCATCAGCGCGTTTCTTCCACTACACCATCCAAGCTCTATCATCAAAAGTCATCATGAGTACAAAATCAATCCCAACACTGACCCTCGATGGGGCTCGTATTGCCCTTGCGGCTGCCGAGCAACGATCAAAAGAAATCAACGTACCAATGAACATCGCCATCATGGACAATGCGTGCCATCTGCTTGCGTTCGCCCGTATGGAAGGCGCAAAGCTCACTTCTATCAACATCGCCATCGATAAAGCTTTCACAGCTGCAGGCCATCGAGCGCCAACCTCGGTGTACAAAGACAACGTGTATCCCGGTGGGCCTGCATATGGCATCAATCACAGCAACCAAGGGAGATTTATGACGATTGCGGGAGGTGTTCCGATTGTAAAAGACGGAGTTGTTGTCGGGGCTGTGGGATGTAGTACTGGGTTGCCGAGTCAAGATGAGGATGTTGCGAAGAAGGGTGTTGAAGCTGTGGAGAAAAGCTTCGGGCTTAAGGCGAAGCTGTGAAGGTTTGGGGGTAGGAGAAAGGAGAAATATGAAATAGATCCCGGTGAGCTGTCACATCGATGCGAGCGCCAGCGACAACCTGTCCCTGATCACGACCGTCTTTCAATTAGTCTCAACGAAAGTAAGCCTGTATTGCGGCAAGCTATCTTTCCAATTTCTACATCCAATCATGCTCCAACACATATGTACTAGCAGCACGGCTTATTCACCGTCGAGAAGCGGAAAAATCACTGTCCTTGCCACACCGTTCCCTTACGTTCCACTCGTCTAAGACGGTTTCTGGCATTGTGAGTAGTATTCGTCAACCTTGAAGCAAATTAACCCCTGATTGCAGGTTGTCGAACCCTGCCATGTCTGCCCGCCGCACTGATCATATAGTTGTACTGGACCTGTGGCTATCGGCGTCGCAGGTTTGGTCGTGGTTGTGCGCCGGGTGCGCGTTGATGGCCGCCCTGGCGGAACAATTGAGGTGGATGATGGTTTAGCGGTAGTCTGAGGCCGCGAGCTTGACGATTTCTGCGATGAAACTGGTGGTTGGCATTGTGAGTACCCTGAGAGTGATCAGTTGTCGTTACGCAATGACAGGTACTTGACGTGGTGATTGAAGAGAAACAAGGTAGCCTACATTCATCGATTCTTACGCACACAGAATCTTTGCACGTCGTAGGGCCGGTCCATCCGTTTCCTCCACAACGATCGTATGGTAGACCAATTGCCGGCATGGCACTAGCCGATGTTGTCGTCGTCAGTGTCGTCCGTGTACTGGCTGGATCTGCAAGGCAGTAGTATGAGTTCTCATCGACGTAGGTACAGACCGTGCCTCCTACGCATCGGGTGGGGCCTTTGTAAGTTCTTCCACCACACTGGCCCCCAGGCTGTACAGTACCAGAAGATATCGGAGCAGATGTCGTAGGTGTCGGTGACGGAGTGTTCTGCCCTGGAATTGGATCGTCATTACGTCTGCAGCCAGAAGTTGACGACAGAGCCTCAGGACAAGTCACCTTCTCCCAATTGATGGTTGGATTGTCGGCTGCTCGAAACCAGTCGAAGCGCCAATAACAGCCGGCCTGCAGAGCAGTGGGAAGAGCTTCGCAATCGTCTCTGTGCGCTACGCCACCAAAGTCTTCGCCCCAGACGTCTTGCCCACCATACTGCTTTGTGCATCCCCGGATAGCACCTTCGCCGCCACCGGGGATAGCTATGTTGAACTGGTCTTCCCCAAGATCGGATCCAGTATTGGTAACTTGGACCACCATCTTCTTCCCGTTGACCGGACCGGAGGTGAATGTCAGGCTGGAAGTTGTCAGTTACTGTTCGAGCATCGAAGCAAGGAACTTACGAGTAGCAAGAGCAGCACCAGGCAGACTCATTCGAAGCCGCAAGGTTGACTGCGGCGAAGCCATACGCCAGATCGTTGCTCACAGCGAAAGGGCTGAGGTCCGAGCAAGCATATGAGCCACCGCCACTCTCACAGCCATCACGTCTATTGTAGTTGTCGAGAAGATTGTCGCTTGCATCGCATGTCAATACGGGCTTGTCAACAAGAGCTTTTCCTGGCCAGGAGCAAGAGTTCTTGCAACAAGACCACTGACGAGTGGTTGAACCCGTGCCTTTGATTGCACTTCCAGCGCCTTGGACAATCCCAAGAAAGTTGAGGATAGAGACAACAAGAGTAAAGATTTGCATCGTGGAACTTGTTATAAGATGTCACATAAGGAGAAGCTGAAGGCGTAGCTATAAAGGCAAGCTGATGATAACTGAAGTACGAAGCTTATATACGTATCCAGCTGCTAATGGCTATCATCTGGAATGTTTCTCAGTTCCATCTGGTACGGCACCTACCACACGTCGGCCCCCGATATCTGCACGATCTTGCAGGAAACTTATCGGATCTTTGATATGGCCAGGTAGTTAATTGCGCACACGGGAAGCATGTTGGTTTTCATCTACCGGCCATGTTTCTTGTGCTACCCTTCGAAAGCGCTGTTGTTACACTGCTATCCGTGGCAGCTGAACTCATGGCTCAACAAAACATATGGCTACATATCTTGATGGTGTTGGAAGAGTACCGGCACTCCCCCAGCCTATTCTCTCTGAGGCATGGCGACGTTGCTGGCGATAATACTGGCCCCGTTTGTGTGGACAATGTTTGATTGCACTCGTTTCTGGACCGTAACTGCGGGTTATCTTCCATAGATAGCAGCTCTTCATCCGATACCCATAGAGCCGGTAAGCCACGAGCCAAACTTCCACTCCGATCTTAATTAAGAAACTTCTACTTTTGGTTTTGAGGATTGTACCAGATTGAGCAACGAGCGACTTGTTGAGATCAACTAGTTCTTCAACCGCAGAAGCTGGCCTCGCGGACATTGCCTCGTTTAGACGTTTATGGCGTTGCGACGCTGAGAGATGTGGGCCTGTAGTGCTGCGAAAGTACACGAATACGACGCACACATTCCAGGAACTCGCCAGGACGGAATTCACTCTGGTTCGAAATTCAAATGAACTGCGCCATGAGATGAGAGACTCTTCAGGACGCGGCCATAAGACGGTGAGATGCCCAGGTGCGTCACCTTGCCTATGATAGATCACTTGGCATTCCTTCCGATCTGTTCTGGTAAGTCCCGACTGCCGGCCTCTTTCCACGGTTACGGCAAGCTTTGGATACTGTCATGCGCCCTCTAAGCGAACTCACATGTACGGCGTTGCGCTTTAGGCAGGGATTATCTCGAATGCGTGACAGCGGGACGGAGCGTATGTCTGGGTCCGATCCGCAATGCGACCACAAAAATTCTGAAGGTCAGGGAGACCAAAGAGACATCGTGACCTGCCTCAAGATTACTTGCTAGGTGTTGACAGGTCAGTGTCTTCCAAGAAGCGGCGCTGAAGCCACTAAGCTGGGGTAACGCCGTCTGTCTTCCGGCACTAGGGTAAGCGCGCCGCAAGGAGGCCCAACACCAACCTTGGAACCCCTTACCTAGCGTCACTCCCTTACGCGATGCGCTTCCACGACTTTCACGAGCGTAGACTTGGAGATATATCCATCATCAAGTACAACAGCGGCGGTATCGGCATCAATCGAGCAGCTGATGTGCACACATCATACTGCATGCGGGCGCTACCCGCGCCTCGAATTCTCCGACTTGAGGCATTCGTGGCAAGATGTGGGGAACGGTCGATCGTCTACGACATATGCACGTTAGCCCACGCCCTGAAGGAATTTCTTGCTTTGCGTCTCAGGTATCAACGGCCAATCATGTTAGGTCGCACGTTGTTCCATTGGCCAGCTGCCGGTGAACATACCGCTTTATCGTCCTCCGAGACAGGGTGGTAGCAAAATGCGGTCGGACCGTCTCGTGAGGGCTATCATACAGCAGCTATGCTTCAGGGTCCGGCCATAACTTTGGTGGCAGCCGCGTCATGTTGCAGACGAGTCGTTCATCTGTCCTTCCCTGCTGCAAACATTGACTGACAGCTCGGCACAACCGCCTGGATTACTATACATCTCACACCCTGGACACCACGGATTCTTAGCCATTCAAAGTCGCGACAAACTCGCCGCAAAATCGAAACAGCATGTCAGGCCTGTGCTGTCTCTGGGCAACCTTCCCAGAAGGACGTGAGGAATGGTACGAGAACGAATATCTACCATCAATCGACTCGCCAAATGCCATCCATGGCATACATTGCGAGGTAACGGCGAGCGGCATGGAGGACGAGCCGGTGGGCAAGTTAGATTCGCCGTGGCCCTATATGACCGTTTGGGAGGTGAAGTCTGTCGACCAGTCCAACAAGGACATGTATGATTTATCATACCACCCACCCAGCAGCGAGTTGCAAACCTCACTCAAGGATCTGCGATTCGATATCCGATCATATCGAGAGGTCAAGGCTTGGAAACAAGACGATTGGTCAGGTGACGGTGGTGGTAAGATCACGGGACAGGATCAAGCCGGCGATGACGGACTAATGTCGATAGACATCGAATACGTCGCAAGCGTAGCGGCAATGGAATGGAGCGTGGCTGCAGACAAAGAAGAGGAGGTCTTGAAGTACTACAAAGATGTCGTCGGTCCCACAATATCTAGTTCACCAGACGTACTGCGGTTTCGCCTCTTCAAGATCGACAACGCGACAACCATGCAAGGTGCAGAGTTCGAGAACAAATCAAAGGACGAGCTACACAGTTACTTCACTCTTGTCGAGTTAGAGTCCGAGCAGTGGCCATGGGATGTGGTCGTCGACCTTGCCGAAGACGACAGGTGGAAGAATTACTTTGAGGGGCAACAAGTTGTGGTATGTCAACTATCAGCACTCGTAAAGTTGGAAGTGGCTAACAAAGAGACAGAAATGGCAGCTTGCTCATTACCTGACGAAGAGAGTCTACGGTGTGGAAAAGAAAGCCTCTTCCTCGACTTAGAAGCTGGTGGCGTTACTTATTCGACATGCTACATGCGTATACCCAGTTGGCTTCCTTGGGAAGTTCTAGCAGCTTCATGCCGAGCGAACCCTTGTATTAACGCAATACAACATTTAAAAACGTCGATCATCAGCATCATCGTGTTCAGGCAACAGAGTCGAAGAACCTAACCTATACGCACTCGCATCTGCGTCTGACACCACAGACGCACGATATACAGTTTGTCTGCGTCACTCGCTTGTTGATACTCAGCCTCGCCTATGCTCCGTACCAGTTCTGCTGGGTCGTCTTTCTTCACTGAACCAATGTTGCGGATTGATTTATATACGCCAACCGATGAATACCCGACAAGTCCACATGCGCCTATATTCAGTCAGCTTGGCCGTTCTCATATGTATCCCAAGATTACTGACCGGCAGCGGGTTTGAAGGCCGCATTCGCAATGCCTGTTGCACATCCAGCGGCGAAACCTAATACACCGTTCTTCTCGGCGCCGTCGATAGGCTTTACCATGAGGTCTCTTATCCCATCACCAAGCCCGTAACCAAAGCTCTTCATGCTGACCACCAACCCGCTTCTTAATCCAGTCACGTTCTCATACTGCCGTACCTCTTCGCCATATGCCTTGGGAAGATTATGGAAGCCTCGTGTAATACCATGCATAATCACTGCAGGGCTCTTGAGACTCGTCGTGACGATGCGCCCAAAGCCTTTGGCGGTACCGAGAGCTACTTGGCGTGCCACGTGGCCTGGGTCTTTCGTAATTTCAGAGCCCGATGACTCTATATTATCGCCTCGCTTCTCTTTCCGTTTTGCTTCGTGTTGCGTTAACATTGGTGTGGTTTGCTTACCCAATTCGATAGGGCCTGCTACAAGACCCAGCATCATACCGCTTACGACATCGTAGGTAGTCAAAAACACGGCGGACACGGGGTCGGTGGGATCGCGCTTCATGTCGGCGTATTGAGAGATCCTGCAGGGGATGTCAGCTCCCGTAAGCCTCTAATGTTTAGAAGGTTTATTTACAGCTGCAAGTCTTTTGCTTGAACGAGTCCTTCCTTAGTAAGCACTGCTGCGGCGAGTGGTGATAAAGCCATGCTTTTCCTCTTCACGAGCCATACTGCGGGTCTGTCGTTGAGGATACTGCACGCTCGTACGCTAGTGAGGCTGGCGGTCGCAACAGGTTCTGTAAGATGATGTGTTAGAGCTGGGGCGTTTATTGTTCGTATCTCCGATCGGTTTCCTTGGCCTGTGATATCTTGTTGTATATGGTATTCGTATTCTCCAGGGAGACTCTGTTCTTCACTCTGACGATCCGAGACCTGTAGCTGTAAAGGTTGGTCTGGGCCCGCATCGTATGCTGGTGACTGATCTGAAACTCGTGTCTTCTCATTTCGTGTCGCTTCTGCGTCTACTGATATTTCTCCACTCGTTGCTAGATGGGTGTACTCTGGGAGATCCATTGTGTACAGGTCGGCATTCTCCGCAGTTGGACTGACGTGCACTAAAGATGAGGTATCGCCGTCTACGTTGCGAAGTTTAGCATCTCAGTCTTAGCATTCAGGCTGTAGATGACTTACTAGCAACACTTCTATCCTCGTCTGCTACGATCGTGTACAGTGCAGTCATATTGTACAACTCTTGTCGCAAAGGGCTAGATCACGAAAATGACAATGTCAATTGAGACAAACTATTCCATTCAATCAATTCTAAGGAATTTTAGAGATATATCTCTATAAGACCGCACTCCATGGCCACGCATTCGGTAATGTTGTGTTTCCGAAATCCTAGACGCTAAACCAGATATGGTAGACCTTGAGAATGGCGCAGCGGGCGGCCTGACATGCCACCAAATTCGCCTGGGCGGCCCTATTAATGAGGACGCGAATGTGCTCGCGAGGCTGGGTTCTTGTGTTTATTCCTCGTCATCGTCGCGCGACCAACGCGGGGTTCGCAAGCTCTACTCAATTAGGCAATCAAAAGAAGTTGCGGAGTCTCGCATGTATACACATAAACACCAACCATTTTGCGCAATGCTAAGCTACTCCAGAAATCCAGCAATGGATTGGACTATAGAAAAAGAGCTGACAAGAAAACTCCACACATGTCATGATGAATGATGAAACGATAAGATATATAGTTAATGAGACACCTACTCCGCCCTCTTCTTTCCAACAGCTTGCATTACACGTGCTACCATGAGAACGGGACCATGTATGAGCAATGGTGACCATTCCTGGTCGTTTCGCTCGCTTGATCGACTACC